ATGAAATAAACATCGCTTTCTCTGTCCCTATATCCCTACGATAGTTCCTATAACTACGCAACGGATTTTCATGAATTTTTTTAATAGATAAAGTGATTGAAGAGGAATGTTTATATGTGTGACAGAGAAGGAGGGATCTCAATATCTTGGGTAGTGTCCATCCTTCTTTATTTTGCTATGGGCGTCTGTGGATGTTGTTGAAGAGACCAGTTAAATTCAAATTCAAATTCAAATTCAAATTCAAATTAATTTATTGTTTGTTACATGTTTACAATTAGATGTTATTTTATAATATTAGTAGCAATGTAACATACCTAGTATAAGGTGTACAATCATATATGATAATTATTTGAAATTAGGTATTCTACTTCAGTATTCTAACATAAGTCGCAAAATTTAATTATTACAGTAAAAAAATATGTCAATTCACATTATGCCACGAGATATTTCTAAATTATTACATAAAATTATTAAATCCTAGTCAAACTATTATTGAAACATTTTGTTAAACTTTAATTTGATACACAGTGCCTGTTAGTCGGAATATCAGTAATTGTGTATGTATTATTAGTCAAGTTGGGATATTGGTCAAAATACAAACATTGGTCAAATCCTATTAATTAAGTCAATAATAACAAAAATAAAATAAAAAAATATTGAAATTCACGAAAATATGTCAGATTACACATAATTAAATGTTTTACATTGAATATTGAACATTTAATCTTTGTCATTAAAAAAATCTTCTATAGTGTAATAGCATTTCTTATGCAAATAACGTTTGAGTTTACTTTTAAACATGTTGAAATGTAAGTCTTGTATGGATTTCGGTATTTTGTTATAAATCTTAGGACCTAAACATATTATGCTTTTGTGCAACAATGCAGTTCTGGTCGGATGAATGCAAATATTATCTTTACGTCGATTTCTGACATGATATTCGGATAAGCGCGGAAACAAATGTAAGTTGCTTCTAACAAACAATGCAACTTCAAGTATGAATAAAGACGGAAGTGTTAGAATTTTGTGATCTCTAAATAGCGGTCTACAACTGTCCATACTTTTTATTCCGAACATAGCTCTTAAGCAACGTTTTTGTTGTTTGAAGACTATATCTTTGTGAGTGGAATTACCCCAAAAGATAATCCCAAACCTAAGTACCGACTCGACAAGGCCGTAATATGCTGTGAGTAAAGTTTCCCTATTAACAGTAGGTGCCAATTTGTAAAGGGCGTATGCTGACTTGCTGACTTTTTTACTCAGTCCGTCAATATGGTTTTTCCAATTAAGTTGCCTATCAATAATTAAACCCAAGAATCGACTTTTGTCTACTTCCTGTATAGTATATTCGTTATACATTAGATTAATTGGGAATGAATTTGGTATATTTTCCCGCTGTCTAAAGTGCATTATACTAGTTTTTTTTAAATTAATTTTTAAATTGTTATTATTAAGCCAGTCGATTATATTTGACAATGAATTATTTATTTCGAAATTGTAATTATTTATATGTTTAGATTTTATAGTTATGGTGCTATCGTCAGCGAAAAGAACCATAGGTTCTGTTGTAGCCGAAGGCAGGTCGTTTATGTACAATAAGAACAAAAGGGGACCTAATACACTACCTTGAGGAACGCCATAGGATACGTCACGCTTTTGAGATGGAAATGTCTGTTCCCTTTTAGTTTTTGGATTAAACTTTGTTATTTCTGTTATTTGTTGACGACCTGTTAAATAAGACCTGATTAATTCCAATACATTACCTCGTATACCGTATGCTGAGAGTTTTTCTATTAAAATGTTATGATCTACGCAGTCAAAAGCTTGTGACATATCGCAATATATTGAGCAAACAGGCAAGGACTTGTCGACATGTGTATATACATCGTACAAGAAGTCGTATACTGCCATGTTAATATTATTTCCTTTTCTAAAACCCTTTTGATTATTACATAGAATCCTATGTTTTTCTAAATAACTATTGATTTCGGTGTATAAGTATTTCTCAAATATTTTAGAAAATATAGGTATAAGAGCTATTGGTCGGTAGTTCTCTATTAAAAATTTGTCTTCTTTTTTATGCAAGGGTTTTATGATAGTAAGCTTTAGGTCTTTTGGAAACGTACCATTTACTATACACAGGTTCAATATATGGCTTAAATGGCATGCAATACCCTTACCCACTGACTTAATTATTTTAGTGGGTATTCCATCATAACCGACACTATTTGTGTTTCTTAAATTATTTATAATTCTTAACATCTGAATCGGTAGACAAGGCGACATAAACATGGAGTTTGTATTGTGGCCAATCATTATCGTGGATTCTTTACCTGCACCAACGATAGGTTGTACTTTTTCAATAAAATGTTTATTAAATGCGTCCGCTATTTCTGTAGGATTTTGGATAAAAGCGTTATTAATTTTTATTTTATCTATCGAATCTTTTGGTACAGAAGTTTTGTTATTGTTAATTACTTGCCATGTTGATTTACTTCTATTAGTTGATGTATTTATTTTATAATTATTTTGAGCCCGTTTTGTTAAGGTTATAATTTTTTTAATTTTTTTTGAATACTTCATATAATTCAATTTGTTTACAAGTGTGGGTTTACGCCTAAAATTCCATAGCATCTCTTTTTTCTTTTTAGAACACATTTTAATTCCATGCGATAACCATTTTGGTTTGTTATTTACTTTTATCAAAACTTTTTTTACCGGAAAACATAAGTCAAAGAATAGTTTAAATGTATCTATGAAATTACTATATGCTAGTGTTGGGTCATCAGTTTCGTATATTTCACTAAAAGACAAACTTTGTATACACGTTTTGAATTTTTGTATATTTACAACACTAAAATCTCGCGTGAACTTATACCATTGTTTTAATCTTAGCATTTTTTTGACCGGTATCTTAATTACTTGTGCTGTATGGTCCGACATGCCAAGTTCAAGTATATCAGTTACACATGGTTTCTGGGAATTATGAGCAAAATTATCTATACACGTGTTACTTAATTTTCTAGTAGGTTGTCTCAGCGCTAATTTTAAATTGTAATTCAACAGTAAACATTCAAAATCCAAAGTTACATTATTGCACTTTAATACATCAATGTTAAAATCACCGGCTATAATGGTATTATTGGATTTAATTTTAGAGATATGTACAAGAATTACCTCAAATCTTTGGAAGAAAATGTTCAAATTACCTTGTTTGGGTACTCTATACACACAGACAACAACAATTCCAAATTCTATCAATTCAATAGCACAACACTCGATAACATTGTTAATAGATAATTTGCTTATTTGAGAAAGTTCTCTAAACTTGTGTATATTGTTGACAATTATGCAAGCTCCACCTCTTTTGATCTGGCTTCGACTGAAAGTGGCAGCAAGAGTATAGTTCTGCAGATTAAAAACTGTTTCATGACCGGCTAACATGAAATGTTCTGTAATACATAGTACATCAATGTCTATATTCCTATCTTTAAGCTCGTCTAGATGAATAGATAATATATCAGACTTATTTATAAGACCTGCAATATTCTGGTGTAGAATATTCAGGAATTTAATATCGAAAAAACAGAGAGTTACAATCATCTACAACAGCAGTGTCACTTTTGTTTAGTTTACATTTTTGTTGGAAGTTGGAATTTATATAGTTTATCAGCAATAGTACATTTTCAAAAATATTTCGAATGCCATTATTATTTATTACACCTGTTCGTAAGTTAAACATAGAACTATCAAACGTTAAATCATAGTTGGAATCTAAATAGAATGCATGTTCGTGCTTTATTAAGTCTAAGTATAATAGATTATTAAATGTCTCAATTCTCCAGTTGTAAAGATTGTTATAATTGGTAAGTTTGTACGTAGGAAAGCAAATTATGATGTTTGTGTGACTAACTTGTTTTAGTATTTTTCGAATTAAAAGTATGTCGTTGTCATAGTTGCTAGTTGTCTTGAAATCTTCTTCTCCAATTAATATAATGCAGTAATCAGTCATTGTATAATCCCGCAGCTTTGTTTGTATCCCGTTAAGAAGTTGCTCCGTTGAACCATTAGGTGTTATGTAGTGACATATGTTGTATCTATCTAGTAGAAGCTTCTCAGCGGTCGATAGTATTCTATTTTTATTGTTAGTGCTTAGTATACATATTTTACTTTTCTGGACGACGGTAGGTGTTTCATTTTTATTGATCTCTAACGCTGAAGCTTTGATCGTGGGTTTTGTAGACCTAATTTCCGTGTTATTGGTATTAGTTGTCCACGTTTGTGTTTGCTTAGTTTCCAAATTGTGCTTTTTAGATTTTTTTGTTGGTGTATTGTATTTTTGTTTGATTGGACTACTAGTAATTTTACTGAGTACTTCATTCTTTTTCATTAAGTCCTCATTTGCTGTTCGTAGTTGAGAATTCTCAGCAGACAATAATTCAATTTCGTGGTGTGCACTTTGTAATTGTGATTCTAGATCCAGTAGCTTAGTCTTCAATAAAGTAAGTTGTAAATCCAGTTCTGTTCTTCAATTCCATAATTTTTGAAGGTAAGTTATTCAGATGACGTCTGTGTAACGATGGTTGCTATAGGAAAGCGTGACCGTTTCAAAAATCGACAGTAGATACTGCTGGCCAGCTGCCTCTCAAGAAGTGCCAATGACACGACCATTAAATAGGGAAAAAATACCATTGCGCCCCGCAAAGCTGAGGCTAGTCGCTAATAAATCTAATAATAAATAACTAAAAAAACACACAACCTTCCTGGTCACAAACTCATAATTAGGAAATTCAAATCAATATACCTACGCAATATTTACTTAAATTACACTACTTACAAAGACACATTAATCACAAAGAGACTTCGCAATCCATTCGCGAAGGTCACAATACAGTCGTTACATAATGACTTATCACAATCTGAAGTCAAAAGCATAGAGCTGGTACCAAAGTGACACCCTTCAAAACTTGATCTAACAATCTCTTTGATAACAAATTAACCTGTTACCTTCGTCATATGCAATTAGGCGCACGTCACAAGGAAGGCGGCGCGGCATCGGGTCGGGAACACCCCTTCCTTCATCAAATGCCACGTCGCCTCTGTAAAAAGATTTTAAAACTAGCACGGGTATCTATGTCATTTACGTCCAGTGATCTGTTTTATTTGATACTTTCTCTTAATTTTAGAAAAAAAGAAGAATAAGTTTTTTGGATTTTGTTGTTTTATCACTACATGGCATAAAATAAAGTCACTTTAGCTATCCCTATGGATATCCCTTAAATCTTTTTTATTGAAACTACGCCACTTATTTAGATGTCTTTTTTTCTAAGAGATAGAGTGTTTGAGGTTTATACGTATAACTTGCGTGTCACACCTGCTTCGCACGGGTCTCCAACTATCTCACTAACGACAAAAGGGTTCCTACTTCCTAGCTATCCCCTCGAAATTATTCTTTCATAACAACCTTCTCCTGACAATAACAAATATTAAAAAAAAGAATTGGTAAAATTGGCCCAGGCGTTGTTGATTTACGCTTACCAAAACACATTTGACGATTCATTTTTATATATACAGATAACATCAAATAGTTAAAATTTTATAGCAGCATACCATCCGATCAGATCCGATCCCGGTGTGGGTCGTTAGTTGGAAATAACATATAGGTATAGTAAGTATATTCTCTTATTTCATATAACTTATGACATAATTGGCTCAAACTGGGTTCTGATAGGAATTACCTAAGTGGCATGACATCTATTAATCCGTTAATCGTATGACTGCCCTCTCCCCGTACGTATCTGATTGCCGTCCTTTTAGATTATGAGTGTGGATGTCGAGTGCATCTGTAAATGCACTTTTCTGGTCACTAAAGTTGTCTCTTGTGCTAGTGGCGTGACCACCGTCACGGTTGGTTCAATAGACCATTTTGTTTGCATCTCTATATATTTCCAAAGCTGCATAATGTAATAAAATCGGACTAACTCGGTGCTAACAATACGCGGCTACCACAAAGTTTCTTCAAACAATACCTCGATAATACAACATTAAAACGTCTGTTTCATTAGACACGGATATTAATTAATTTCCAGCCGATATCCGCTATGAACAAGTTTATACAAACTCACCTAATGGAAAAAAGCGTGAAGCATTCAGCCACTCCGGCACAGCGGATGATAAAGTGCATTTAAGAGAGCGGTGAATGGCACGCTGCAAGCTGCCGGCGACTGGCTCGGCTTTGTGCCACCGATAACTTGTCACTGTATAGCCACGCTCGATGGAAATATCGGGGCACCGTTCCCGTGCCACACTGCCACGCCATTGTTGTGCTATTTGTGACTCGGTTTGTCTAACTTCGAACACTTTTCACCAATTTGAAGAGGAGTGTAATTTTTCGGATTATGAACGATTCCTGACAATGGCGTTCCATTGCTTCAGTTAGATTTGGCACTGCAGTCATTTTTCATATCCAATAAGTGGGGATCGCATTCGAAGAATGATTGAAATCATTTGCATGGCTTTAGGAAGACTTCCATTGTAACTCAGCATCGCTGATATCGCTCAACTAACTTAGCAATATCTGGCTGGTTCTTTAAAAGACGAGAATGTATTAGTATCGAAAATTATAAATCGAATACAATTAAATATTTTTCAGGGATACTTAAACGATTTCGTTCATAATGTTGCATGTTATTATAAATAGATAATAGACAACAGCGAGCTTAATTATAAGCTATACATAATGTATGTGTGTGTATGAATTAATTTGATAAACTAATTGTGGTTCAGTAATTGAGTTTGAGTATATTTGATGGGGATTAGGTTCGTGAGCTCGCAATGGCATTGTTATGGCACATGTTAGTACATACGAGTGCCAGTGTGTAGCGAACATTGAAGCTGTTAAAACAGTATTATTGCATTACATAACTGTAAGCTTTGCTGGTAGAAACTAGACTGACTTATTAATTGGCTGATCAAGTTTAGCGTCTGTACAAAACAAAGTTTTAACATTAAGTTTTAGTGTTCATATTTAGAATAACATTACATATTTTTTATAGGTTTCATTATAACAATTAAAAACAACTACCGAGTAACTTGGATTCAAAACTCAACTTTATTTACATTAATATCACCAAGAAATTCTCCGACACTTATCTAAAGTGTGGGAGAGTTAAGCTTCGGCACGAATGGGTCGGCTCGACCGGACTGATACCACGGCCTCACAGAATACCGGCGTGAAATAATTACAGCGTTGTGTTTCGCCGTGTAAGTAAGGTTACCGGAGGCCCAATGGCGCTCCTTCCCCTATCCCTTCCCGATCCTTATATCCGCAACCCCTATATATACCCCAAAAGGCCGGCAGCGCACTCGTTATACTCTTTTGGTACTGCGGGTGTCCATGGGCGGCGCCGCTTGCTTACCATCAGGTAATCCGTGTGCGTTTGCCGACTTATACCATAAAAAAATACTTAATAACTAAAAGAAAAGTGACAATTACCTAATTAGTAAAATGTTTGATAGTCCAACCTAGGTCTTCTTTTTTAGTAGGGGAAAATCATCATATGACTTCTCCTACCCTGGGTGAGGCGAGAGGGGGTGTGTCTCAGACTCTTAGGAATAAAAACTTCCACGGTCCTTCTTCACTTTTAGGCTGACGCCGGTGCCACATTGCGCTTGCCCCTCAACCCTGGCTGACAAAATTGAAAAGTTGAATAAACTATTCAATTGAGACCTAAGTTGTCTCAATCGGATGGTTTATCATTTCAATCTTTCAAACTTCAACATCATTTCAATTATTTATCTTTTAAAGTGAATTGAGAAGCCGCGCCAATCTGATAATTATGTAAAACGCGCCTTCCATCTCAATATGTGAGAGCTACTATTAACAGTAACGCAAATAATTTGTCCTCCCGCGTCGGAGTTGTATCAGGCGTTTTATTATAAAGTTTAGTAAATCGTTTTTTTTTTGTACATTGATTTGAGTTTTTCTCGAAACGTTTACTTGAAACACACCCTCCTTTTAGTTATAAAGTGAGATTAGTTTATTGCCATACAAACAAAAATATGTAATACATTTTTATTTTATGGTTTTTTATTTTAAAAAACTTTGCCTAACAGGAGGATTTTTTTCGTTGATAAATAGGCGTTTTAAAACATACACATTCACATACTGAAACCACCGAGACCAGAAACAATTCGTAGATAATACAAAGTGTTGCTCCGTGCAGGAATCGAACCCACACGACACGTTGCACAGCAGCCAGTTGCCCAACTATTACACCAACCGTGAAGACTCACAAATTCTCAGTAGAGAAAATCAAACAGTTACCTAATTACACGCATAAATATCTAAAAAGACTTTAACACACAAAATATTACCTATACAAAATTTTGGTGGGTAACTTAAATGTTATCAAACCTTCAATGATCATACATAACAGCGAAAGTAAATAGGAACCGTCTCATAATATTAAATTCAAAGCGACATTTTCCTTAAAATCTTCAACGCCATAAGGAGAAGACGCAAAAGACTTTCATTTCAAAATGAAGTCGCTCCGTCTTTTTAAAGTCAGATTAAAACTGTGACTGCAAATAAGTTATTAGCCGGAGAATACAGTTACCAGCTATTTTAGGATTTGTGAAGTAGTCTCATTAATTCAAGTGCCCGGACACTGGCGACAATTTCTCCCTAAATCCGTTATAATGGACGCCATTGTGATTTTTGCTCGGTCCACCATTCCCAGCCGTCACCAATCCAAAACTAATTACCGGCTCAAGTGCAAGAAATTCAACAAGTAAAGCCGATCCACGAAACTGTTTTCGCGTTAAATAACTAGATGGTTTACTTTGTACGGCTGGAGGATTTGTGTTTACATGTTTACTATATCTTTGGTACTTAGAAATAACATGATTGGTTCGACGTGTTTATGTTATGTTAATTATTGAACTGATATCTATTACCTATTAACGTCTGTTGTTACTGTTTGTAAACAAACACGAATATGTTGAATATGTCGAATTATTATATAATAAAACATTTCTTTTTTGCTGCAAGCATAATCACCCTATTAAGCCCTGATTGCATTAAGTTCTTTCAATATACGAGGGCGGGCTTATCTAACTCATAACAAAACACTTCACCGGCCAATCATTACCCGGGACCCGAGAGCAAGTTATTGTTCGATTATTTCATCTCAATACACAAAAACAATGCCAATATTTCTACCAGCATTTATAATTTATTTCGAACCCCAATACGCTTTTAATTTCCAGCCCTTATTTACGATGTTCTACAAAAACAAAATTCTAAAAAGAAAACGTAAAGAAAAACTTCTCCGTCGCTGAATTTTCGAGTTTGATGTTATATCGGGGACTATAATTTCGATAGCGCACCAAAGCGTAAAGTTCCCCTGGCGATGTCTAATGAGCGAGGTTTTATGCCGTTTGCTGCCGAACCATAAAAATGTTAATTCAACTGTGCCGAAGAAATGAAAAACGTCGTAAATACAAACGTGACTTTTCCGACGTCATGCATAACGAGTATGTATATTTTAATAGTTTAATGTAGATAATATATTATGTATTATATAATGATGTTTGCACCAATTTTTACTTGCTCAGTTTTCTTATTGTCCATTCATTTTTAATTTTGGGTAGTTAAGTGGTGTAATAATTTCTACGCTTAATAATAATTTTGTGGCTCCCAAGTGGCTGATATAATTAAATTGTTATTTTTAATTGCCATGTTTCGAGGCTCCTGTTTTTGACATTATGTTTAGCATGCACCGCCATTACAAACGCCGAACTGTCAGAATATCCTGGCCATGTTGTTACATTTGCATGCAAACTGCGTCTTCGTGGATGTTTGTGCTTTGAATAAACGACAGATGTTTCTTTTTTTGTACGTAAATAGATATTCGGACTTACAAGGGATGGACTTTTACGAAATAAACTTTCACTACTTAGGTTGCTACCAAATAAATTTGTAAACAAAAATACAACAATAAAGATTAGAGACGATTGTTGATAAATTGCTCAATAGTACGTTTGTATGTAGGGTGTAAACTTTGGAACCGCTGGTCGGATTTCCAAAATTCTTTCA